GGATTCTTCAATTTCATGATGTCTATTCTTTATCTCCAGGTTACTCTGCCTTCTGCCCAGCATGCCTGATGATGCACCATAGTCCTCAATCCCCCAGCCGCAGCCAATTTATGCATGTGAAGGCACTTCCTGGCAGTGTGTAACAACATCTCTATATTCATTCCCCCACTGTCCCACCACTCCCCTGTAATTTGGACTGATGCAGCAGACCACACAGGATTCACTGCAATTTTTGGTAACCATTGGTTTACGGATGTTTTGCCTCTAGAACCACTTACCATGCTGATCTTCAGGGAAAATTAAGCCCTTTTGAGATCTACCCCATTGTAGTATCTGCCCATACTTGGGGTAACCTGTGGGTCGGTAAGGCAATAGAGTGTTTCTCAGATAATTTGGCGGCTTGCGAGATTATCAATAAAGAGCGCACTTCCGCCTTGAGCATTCTGTGATTGAAACGGATATTGATGTGGCTGGCCACCAAACTACAATTATTCTTGGAGTGCGAACACATTCCGGGCATTCAAAACATAGCAGGTGATGCTTTGTTCCAGTCTAATTTTCAGGCATTCTACAAGGTGCATCCTTTCGCCAACGAGTTCCGATCCAGAATACTGACATTTCCAGAGCTAATCTTGGACAAACGGGATTATTGACCCACACACGGTTACTCTCATGCAACGCTCTTTCAGCCAACACTAAGACAGCATATGATAGGGCGTTGATTGTCTTCCGCAGATTTGGTGGGGAGTTTCACATTTTGGATAATTACTCTATCAAGACCATGGTTGCTTTTGCCTCTTTTTGTCACTCAAACTAGCACACAACACTATCAAATTATATCTTACAGGTATACAGCACCAAGTCCTCGCTACCTTTCCCAATCACCCACGTTTTCTTGCTACATACCCCATCAAAACCATTCTTACAGGCATCAACCAAAATAGATCGACCTCCTACTACCAATAGATTACCGATAGATGGACCCATATTCAGGAACATATCAGACCTATTGAACACAATCCCCTTTAACGTCCAGACTAACTCTATCATCAAAGTAGCCATTTACATCTCCTTCTACGGCTTCCTTAGACTCTGAAAGTTCACTGTTGTCCGTCAATCCGATATCAGCACATGTCTAAAATTATCGGACATGGTCAAACATGGCGACCATTATGTTATGTCTTTACATACCACACTAACTACCATACTACAATCCAGCTCTTAAAATACTCAACTCATTTCTATCCACCCCCAACAGTCTCCCTGCTAACTCTCCCTTACTACTTCTTCACCCACTACTTCTACCACCCACTCACAAGTTCATATTTCAAGTTAGAACATCATTGCTAAGATTGGGACATAACCCCACCTCATTTTCTGGTCACACCTTCAGAATTGGGGCAGCCTCTGTAGCCTCCAGTATGAACACACCAGTCCATATCATTAAAAGAATGGGTAGATGGAAATCCTCTGTCTACAGTACATATATCCCGCAGCCTGAGAAAGAACTCAGGAAAGCTTTTAAATGTTTAGCATTATGTGTATGAAATAAAGTGTGTTTTCCTGCAATATCTTTTTGCCCTCTTTATTACAGGCCTACCCGTACATTGGTTTCGGCACACCACTACCAACTTTCCCCCTTTCCTCTATATAAAAACTCTAACCCCCTGCTTACCTATGTCGTTTCCTGTTTGAGTGACCCCACCCACCACTCCCTCTAATATTTTACTATTATTATTACATTACCCCTAGCGGGCCCTCTTCATTACAGGCCTACCCGCACGTTGATTTCGGCACACCACCAGCAACTTTTCCCCTTTCCTCTATTTCCATATATGATTTAAGTTCTGACCACAAATATATATATATATATATATATATATATATATATATATATATACAATAAAGAATAAAGGGAGCACACTAGGACTACTTCTGAGTGGCAAAAAATGGTATTTACTGTGACGTTTCGACCCTCCTGGGGTCTTTATCAAGATCACGTATATATAGTATATATAGAAGGTTGATGGCTTGGCACTCTCTTTACCAGGATTCTGTGTAAATATGCCTGGGTGCAAATCCAAATGCATCCAAAATATATCAAGGAGATGCACACACAGGTCCTTCAATTTAGTACGATGTGATTTATTAAAGTGAAATTACATACAGAAATAAAATTGACGTTTCAACACTATCGGGTCTTTTTCAAGGTCATTGAATGTACATAGAAAATGCATATATATAACAAATAAATAATGAGCTTACCAATCGTTGAAGTGATGTCCCGCTCTCTGCTACTACCCAGAAGTGCACTGAAGCGGCATGTGACGTCACCACGCATTGACGCACTGCGGGTAGAAGCGTAGTTACCATGGTTACCGAAGTAACAATCATGTAAGTGATAAGTACTATATCGGGTGAAGAAACAGTGCCAGTGTAAGTAACAATGCGGTGAGGTCTGAAAATTATATCAGTTGCTGTAATATTACAAATATAATAATATCTAAAGCCGCAGGAATGAAAGAAAATGTGAGGAGGGAAGGTGAACACTCGTGAGGAGCAATAAAAAATCATGCACAAAGTGGTGACAAATATTAGAGTGAATGAGAATAGACGTGAATACCATTCATGCAGCATGGATTATAGTGTATATCAACATATAAATTTTCCGAAAACGGAGTATGCGGTAATTATCGACATATTAAATATATAATATAATATATATATTTCTGTTTTTGACATTTCTCTTTTGAGGATTTTAGAGGGAACCTCATACCTATAGGTTGCAGCTATCTACCTGTTTCTAGCCCCCTACTATATCACGCAGCGCTGATCCATTCTCCATTTGTATATACATAACCAGCGTCTGAATGCTATCTACCAAATCAATGGACGCAGTCCATTGTAGTGCCAAGCAAAGAATAATAAAGGATCTTCTGTCCTCCAAAAAAATAATACAAATAAAAATACTAAATGTTATACTTCACAATATGAAGACACTGTATTATGAAAATCATAATAACTGATTTTTATAATACAATGTCTTCATATTGTGAAGTATAAAATTGTATGTATATGTATATATGTCTGTCCAGAAAGTATACACCCATGCAATATGAAAAATAGAGACATTTCTGGAAGAATATACAAGATACAGGAAAAATTGTACATATTTACATGACGCCTCGGTCCCTTTCAAAGTGTTGACCTTGGACCTCACACAGTTTTCACTGCATCTCTTCCACTGTTCAAAATCCTTTATTGGAATCCCCATCAGCTGACTCATCATATTTACCTGAATCTGATCCATGGTACAAAAGCTCTTCCCTTTCAAAGGTGTTTTGGGAAAAGCCATGAGCTGAAGGGCACCAAATCTTTCAACAGATTCTTAATCATATTTGAAGCATTTGTGCTGCACTTTTATTTGCACTGATCTCATTGCATCGTCCCTGAAAGCCTTATGGATCATCTGAATAGTTTCCGCAAAGGAATGTTTAAGCTTAATGCAAAATTTTATGCAGATTTGTTGCCCTACTCACTCAGTCATTGTGAGGGCCACACAGTACACCTGCTCACTTAATGGCGTCTAGAGCTCCCACTGACTAATACAGTGAAGTAGTTATTGTTAACGCATGCTCATTGCAGTTCACTCTCCTTGACTGCCAGATTACATCAATGTCGTGCAAACTGTTCTCGTCATATTAAAAATGGCTTGACTTTTTTCCAGACAGACCCTATATAAAAATGACCATATATATTTGGTCTGTCCAGAAAAAAAGTGAGTGAGTAGAGCAATAAATAGAATTAATCATTTGTCCAGTTTTATGGTTTTAGGGAAAAAGTAATTTGAAGAAAGAGTTCTCATGTTCATTAGTTCATTAGAGTATCTGGACTTGTTTTCTTAGATGCAAAAATATAGAGAAACTAAGTATTTTTAATTAAAATGCAATGCATTTTATAGAATGTTGTAAACATGTTTTGGGAATATAAAGATTAAGCTACATAATTAGCAAATGACAATAGATTAGCTTGTATATTGTACTGTACATGCTATTCTAAATTAGATCATTTGTGAGATGTTTACCAGCTCTCTTCAAGAAAAAAACCCTACAGCGTAACAGCTTGGTTAGTGATGAAACATCTATCCCTTGGAGTTTATTAGAGTAGAGCAGAACCCTAGCTGCATTAATTACGTGATAACACCTGGGTAAGTAAATTTTGGTCAGCAAAAGAACTAATTAGCATGACATTCCTTCAATGCCTCAGAAGTTCAGTAAAAAGGTAAAGTGAATTATTTCAATAATACATGTTGCATAAATAAAATGCAATATATATCTAGTCTACAGTACATATATGTAAACAGAAATTTGTGTAGAAAAAACAGAATCTGATGATATGGTCTATATTTTTGAGAATTTATTTATGGCAAAAAAAAAACACAATTGTTACACTCTCAAATAAATGTTCACTTAATGCTGTGCATTGAGGAGAGGATAGAAGAGGAGAGGAAGGAACATCACAATAAAATTGCAAATATCAAACATCAATTTAAATAGGAAAGGATCTGCGTACTATACAGGTAATACTTGAAAAATTAGAATATCGTGCAAAAGTTCATTTATTTCAGTAATGCAACGTAAAAGGGGAAACTAATATATGAGATAGACGCATTACATGCAAAGCAAGATAGTTCAAGCCGTGATTTTTCATAAGTGCAATGATTATGGCTTACAGCTCATGAAAACCCCAAATCCACAATCTCAGTAAATTAGAATATTGTGAAAAGGTGCAATATTCTATGCTCACAGTGTCCCACTCTAATCAGCTAAGTAAGCCATAACACCTGCAAAGCATTCCTGGTCCTTTAAATGGTCTCTCAGTCTGGTTCAGTAGGAATCACAATCATGGGGAAGACTGCTGACCTGACAGTTGTGCAGAAAACCATCATTGACACCCTCCACAAGGAGGGAAAGCCTCAAAAGGTAATTGTGAAGGATGTTGGATGTTCCCAAAGTGCTGTATCAAAGCACATTAATAGAAAGTTATGTGGAAGGGAAAAGTGTGGAAGAAAAAGGTGCACAAGCAGCAGGGATGACTGCAGCCTGGAGAGGATTGTCAGGAAAAGGCCATTCAAAAGTGTTGGGGACTTTCACAAGGAGTGGACTGAGGCTGGAGTCAGTGCATCAAGAGCCACCACACACAGATGGATCCTGGACATGGGCTTCAGATGTCGTATTTATCTTGTCAAGTCGCTCCTGAACAACAAACAACGTCAAAAGCATCTTACCTGGACTGTTGCTCAGTGGTCCAAAGTCCTCTTTTCTGATGAGTGCAACTTTTGCATTTCATTTGGAAACCAAGGACGCAGAGTCTGAAGGAAGAATGGAGAGGCACACACTGCAAGATGCTTGAAGTCCAGTGTGAAATTTCCACAGTCTGTGTTGATTTGGGGAGCCATGTCATCTGCTGGTATTGGTCAACTGTGCTTCATTAAGTCCAGGGTCAACGCAGCCATCTACCAGGAGTTTGGAGCACTTAATGCTTCCTTCCACAGACAAGCTTTATGGGGATGCTGACTTCATTTTTCCAGCCCACACTGCCAAAAGCACCAAAGCCTGGTTCAATGACCATGGGATTACTGTGCTTGATTGGCACAGTAAAAATGATATTCTAATTTTTCGAGTATCACCTGTATTTACACCAGGCCCGGACTGGCCATCGGGCACACCTGGCAAATGCTGCGATGTCCATAAGCCGAGGCCGGCAGGGGAGGTTACAGGATCTCCCCAGCTGGTCCATGCAGGGCCCACACTATCTGAGCACCGGTCCTGCTGCATTCCATGACATTCCATGTACAGACATGCGACTAGGGAGGGAGGCGAGGACCCGGCACAGCTATATCTTGCAGCTCTGCCGGGTTCCTCCCGTGAGAGCTTGCAGGCTAGAGTTCACTCACAGCTAGCACCACCAGGGATAGTGCCGGTCCCCCCCTCCCAGGCACCACTGTGCAAGTCCCCCCTCCTGGGCTAAAGGTACTCCCTTAACACACAATCCCTCCTAACATATGCACACACATCACCCTCACACACATCACCCTCACACACAGCACTCTCACACACATCTCCCACATCACCCTTACACACAGCACTCTCACACACAGAACCCTCACACAAAGCACCCTCACACACATCACCCTCACACACAGTTCTCTGACACACATCACCCTCACACACAGCACTCTCACACACATCACCCTCACAAACACACACTTCACCCCTCAGACTCACAGCATTCATCACACACACACATACTCCACACACAGACTGCACCCCTCACATATACACTAAACTCCTCACACACACCCACTGCACCCTTCACACACACCCACTGCACCACACACACAATATTTCCAAACATATTTATAATATATATTATTATTATTATTATTAAGATATTTATAGAGCGCCGTCAAATTCCTCAGCGCTTTACAATGGGTGGACGAACAGACATGTAGTTGTAACCAGATAAGTTGGACGCACAAGAACAGAGGGGTTGAGGGCCCTGCTCAATGAGCTTACATGCTAGTGTGAGTGGGGTAAAATGACACAAAAAGGTAAGGATAGTATTAGACTAGTGACAGTTGCAGAAGAGGAATCAGTCAGGAGCTATTAACAGTTTAATTGATACACTTTTATGAAGAAGTGAGTTTTTAACGATTTTTTGAAGGAGTGGAGACTGGGTGAGCATCTAACGGAGGAGGGAAGCGAGTTCCACAGGAACGGTGCAGCCCTCGAGAAATCTTGAAGGCAATATATATCCAAATGGTAGAGATGACTAGCACTCATGGTTTTCAGTTGAAGATTAAAAGTTGTAGACTTCATTAATACATGTTAAAATGGCAGCTCAATGTTTCAGTCCTCGTCTGGGACTTTCATCAGGAACAATAACCATACATACAAAAACGACATATATAAGGGAAACAATCATTAGAAATTAGCTTACCCCAGGTGTACACGATCTCCAGTGCCGCCCGTGTTCTAAATTGCCCAGTGCGCATGCGTGTGCATGCTCTGCCCATCTACGACGTGGCTGTGTGACGTACGTCACCATAGGGACGGGAAACAAGCCCCTCCACGGCAACCCAGCCACGCTCTAGTAACATACTGCAATAAATGATAATGAAGGGAGATCTAAAACGTGTATAATGCAAGATCTCTTAACCCTTAAATACTAGAAAGGTTACAGAAGAGAAAAGTAGTGTAGTGATTTAGCTATTGAAGATCTATACTGATCTAAAGATAAGTATGTGGCAAGAACTGCCAATATTATTTACATACCGTTCTTAAAGGAATGGTTTCCAGTAATTATAGTAACATAAAATCACAATACTGTGTGTATTAAGAAAAAAGTGATTAAAGCAGTGGAACACAGCTGATTATAAAGCCTATAGAAAGTGCTTTAAATATACATATACATACTACAACACCCGTCACACAGATACTGCACCCCTAAACACATTACATTCCAGACACACACTAGATCCCTTACCCGACTCTGGATCATCTACACACATACACACACTAGATCTCTATATACACTCAGAATCTGCTATATACACACTAGATCTCCTGTACACACACTAGACTCCTATATATATATATATACACACACACACACACACACACACTCTGCACCACCTACACACACACTACATTTCTAACATATACACTCTGGATCCCCTATACACACACTAGATTCCTTGTAAGCAAACACTACATTTCCAAAACACACACTCTCTGCAACCCCTACAAAAACTACATCACCTATACACGCACACACAATAGCCCTTACGCACACACTTGCTACATCCCCTATACACACTCTCTCTACAGCTCCAAACACATGCACAATACTCTTTCCCGGCCCTTTTGTCTCCTGGTATGCCATTTATAGAAACACCGGAGACAAGTTGCAAGGACACAAAGTGCAAGCACTGTGCAGAACAAATACAGGACCTTTTTCTCATGCTAGACCTCTTCAGCAGAGCTCTGTGCATGGTCTGCCCTGAAAGAGCATTAAACCAACATGCTCATTTTTGAGAGGGGGCGTGTTTGTCATTGGTGATGACAAAACACACCCTCTCTGCCCCGCCCCCTCCTCAGTGGGCCGCTGTGATAAAAAAATGATTGATTTTTTGATTTTTTGCTGGGCCTTTACTGCACTGTCTTTAGTTGTTGTTTGTTCATGGGTCTTTATGCCATAGGTCTTGTCTTCAGCAAGTGAAATGCCTTCTTGATTGGGTTGAGAGCAGGTGATTGACTCAGCCATTTCAGAATATTCCCCTTCTTTGCCTTAAAATATTCTTGGGTTACTTTTGCAGTTTGGTTTGGGTTATTGTCCATCTGTAAGTTAAAGTGCTGTCCAATCAATTTCGCTGAATTTGGCTAAATCTGAACAGACAATATAGTGCTATACACTTCATAATTCAGCTGCTTCTGGCTTCTGTCACACCATCAATAAACACTAGTGACCCAGTGCCATTGGAAGCCATGCATACCTATGCCTTTAGACTGCTTCCACCGTGTTTTGTAGATGATGTGGTATGCTTCAGATCAGAGGTCATTCCAATCATTCGAATCGATTTTATGTTATTTATTTTGGGGTAAGGCAATTGTAGTATTGCCTGTACATAATCTATTTGAAATCCCAGAAACTGAACTACCTGAGAAGGTTCTAGATCTGATTTCTGGAGATTTATGACAAACCCAAACTTTTGAAGTAAGGCAGGGGTCATGTATGTGTGACTGCGGAGCAGGTGTGGATCTTGAGCCATGATTAGAATATCGTCCATATATATAATGGAACTAACTCCTTGAGAATGGAGTAGTGCCATGACTGGTTTCATCAATTTGGTGGAACACCAAGGTGCGGAGCAAAGACCGAAGGTAGATGAACTGCCAAATTTTGTCTTACCATAGGAATTGAAGGAAAGCACAATGGCTTGGGGTGATTGGGACTGTGAGGTATGCATCTTTGAGATTGAACCCGGAACCAGTCTCACATGCAAAGCAGGTCCCTGAGAAGATAGTTGCCTTCCATCTTGAAATGACGGTACTTGACAAATTGATTCAGAATTTTTAGGTTGATAATTGGCTGGTGGTCTCCAGTCTTCTATCGCAAAGGAAAATGTTGCTGAGGAAGGTACAAGGGAAAGGCAATTGTTCGATTGCCCATTTCTCCATGAGTTTGTTTAACTATGAATTTAAGGTTAGTCTGTCTGCCTCTGATATCCATAGAGGTGTCGGAGAAACGTATTGTATGGAGTGAGTGAGGAAGTCTGTCTTGAATCCCCTAACTGTATGAAGGATCCATTGTTCCTGAGAAAGTAGTGTCCACTGTTGGAAAAAAAGTGTTAATCGACCTGCGTTTGGCACATTTTTTAAATAAGTAAGGTCTATCAACTGAAGCAGTGCGTCTGTGTAGGGAGGCAAAGACACGTCTTCGAAAAGATCCTCTGTTGTTGAAGAACTGGTGATGATAGGGTTGAGTGGGTTCTGAAGCCCAATAATCTGTGGGGCAAAGCCAGTATCCTGTGAAGGCTGCTCTGCTGGTGGCTCCGCCCCTATACCGACCAGCTCTCCCTGAAAAATGATGGGTTTGGGAGTGAAAGACCCTGCGTAATGAGGACTGCTTAGATGAATCTTGCATAAAACTGTCACCAAATAATAAGCCATTGGCTTCTGGTCCCAATTCTTTGGAACTCAAATCAACTAATTTTGCATCTGTTTTATAAAGTGCCGCTTTTTGGCTTACAGTAGAAATTGTCTCAATTTAGCTCTAATTTCCATCTCTAAGGGCTTGTGTAGTCACATTTTACAGAAACTGGCAATGTTATCAGGAGGGACCCATTCAGCAGACCATGGATGCCGGATTATTCTTGGATCAAAGAGTGGGAGGCTGAAGCATCCAGGAGGATGTCTAAAGAAGGCTCTTTAGGCTGGGAACTACCCAATCTTGTATCATTGGCATGTGTTGTGATAAAGGTCTCTTTAGCAAACTCTGATGTTGAGGAATCCTTGGGCACATTCGCCGGGGGATCCTCATCAGAGTAGTTAGCATCATAGTCTGTCATCATATGACCAGCTAGTCAAGAAATAGAACTCTCTAGAGGATCCAGGGTATCCTGCATAGTGAGTGGCAAGGATACTTT